ACAGTGCTCTTTGAGCCAGTGGATTTGTTTGCAATCATACCTTTGGAAAAAATAGGAATAATCAGCAGAGATCAGCAAAAAAAATGGATAGTTAATGCAATTCATACCAAATTTTGAAAGTACGATTGTCACGAGGCATCCTCACTATTCCCTCCTCCCAGTTCTCTTCCTTAGTAAGAAAACAAATTGTCTAATTTTGAAATATTGGAACATCACAGGAGGCCGTGGAAGCATACTCAAACCACTTGATTTCTGAGTTAGTATCTAGGAAGGACCAGTTGTAATAAATACAATTTGGCAAAGACCAGATAGGATGCAGAAGAAAAGCTATCGATCAGTGAGTGAGGGTTTGGATTTTTTAAACCCTCACCCTCAAATATGTAGGGGTGCCCAAAATACCTGTACATGTTAAGAACGGAAAAATATTATAATACTCAAGTCATATTTAACTTCTACAATTAAAAGAGATACAAGATACAATATATAAGATAATAAACGTTATTGGTATATACTGAGTATTACAGTTTTAATACAGTTTTTTCTTTCTTAAAATGTGCATACACTTTTTTTTTTTTTTTTTGGCACCTTCTGTATTTTAATTCTGTGGGCTCTGTACATTTCCCTTTAGGGCTGAAAGATGGTAAAGATAGCCATATCTAGAACCGTGTCTAAACAGTATCTTATAAAAAACAGGCTATGCATCGTGAATGGGCCGCACAGCCTTTGCTATCAAGTTCCACAGTGCCCACCCCTCTGGAATGCAGCCTAGGAGATGGCTCAGGGCAGGCAGCAGCAGGAGCCCACTGGCTGGGTAAAGTGTGAAATCTCTTAACTGGAAAAGGAGAACGACAACCTTTTTTCTACCTCCCTGTTGTACAGATCAAGGAGATCATTGATCTCACTGGCAGAAGTGCTGGGGAAATGTAAAATACCGACAAATGTGGATATTGCTACAGGGATGACAGATGAGTGCATGGTAACCAAATTGCCTTTATTAGCTTTTCCCCTCTCCCGACCTTCATCCACCAGTTCCCAAGGATCCCTGATTAGTCCTCCAACAGCTCAGGCATACTCAGGATTACAGCCCTTTTGCTTTCTTTTGGCAGCCAGTGACATTTACCTGGCCTTTATCCCAACTGTATGGGTTTCAATATGCTAGGGTGTGACCCTACCCTGAAAAAACAGCCCTCTGCAAGGCCCAGAATTCTTACTGCCCATTGTCCCTGCGTCATGTTCAGCGAGGTCCTGAGCCCATTCCTATTACCTATCACAAAAGCAGATTCCAGAAATAACTCAAATTTGTGTGTGTGGAGGTGAGGGGTTGGAGAGACGGAGGGGCAGGGTGGGAGGGGTAGGGATAGTTGGTTAGGAAATTCCTCAAGTGGGGCCAGATAGGAGATCAACATCTTGGTAATCAAGGCAAGAATGCCTCTCCAGGTTGGACCGAGGAGAGAAAGGGGATTGTGGAGATGAGAAGAAAAGTCCTAACTCCCAAGTAAAGAACTTACTTGGGTTTGTCACCTTATCATTCCCTTTCTTCACTCTCCTATATATCCCAGTGGTTCAGAATTCTTACTGCATATTCAAACCAGCTGGGCGATTTTAAAAAATTGCCCAGGCTGCATGCTAGACAAATTAAATTGGAATCTCTTTGGGTGGAACTCAGGCATGTGTTGTCCTTAAAGTTGCTCAGGTGATTGCCATGATCAACGAAGGTGGGGAACCCAGATGGTTCCATTTCTTCTCTAGTCAACCCTTCCCCCTCAACGCTACATGGTGGTACCTGGCTTCATCCCCAACTAACGCAGCACAAGGCAGGGTATGGGGTTCGGAGTGAAAGCCAGCTGACTGCAAACCTGGAGGTACCATCCACAGGCACCCACCCTTGCTTTATAACTTCTCGGAATCATTTTCTCATGTGGGGGCACTAAAAGTTTATAACAACGAGGGTAAAGAGTAGATTCTCAACGCGTGTTAGAATTGTTTCGTTTTAACAGATTCTGTGTCACAGAAACACTCTCTATGACCTCAGATTAACATGTTTTTTCACCTCTTAAGAAAGTTCCTTTCTTGTTAGGTCTAATTATTTCCTTTCTAAAGTTATTCACTTGGCATATTTGCTTATTAGCACAAAGTGATATGGAATTAGTAGGACTTTAGCAATAGTGAAAGATACTGGTTTCCTGGATTGCTCTGGGGTGAAACTCAAGTGTGATGGCTAGTTTTACTTGGCTAAGCTAAGGTATCCAGTTTTTTTTTTTTTTTTTTTGTCCAACACTAGCCTAGATGTTGGACTGAGGGTATTAACATTTAAATCAGCAGACTTAGTAGAGGGCCTCCTAATGCAGGTGGGCCTCATCCAATCAGTTGAAGGCCTTTAGAACAACGACTGAAGTCTCCCCAAGTACAACCAATCTGTCTGCAACACAGAAACTCTGCCTTGCTGGCGGGTCCTGAAGATTTCAATGCCAATTGTAGTCTGAATCTCCAACCCATCAGCCTACCCCAAGATTCAAAGATTTTGGACTTGCCAGCTCCCACGATTGAATGAGCTGGTTGTTTAGAATAAATCTCTCTCTCTCTAAAAAAAAAAAACCCACATACGCACAGGACACATACACAAAATACATTCCAAACAAATCTTAAGCATTTTGAAAGCATGGTTGAGAACACCTTAAGAGGAAACTCAGAAGATCGTATGAAGAAGACTGTGCGGAAGAATTTAATGCTCATTTATTTAATGCTAAATAAAAATGTGATGGCAAGGTAAAATAAATGAATAAATAAATAAATCTTAATAATATAAACCTCCCATTGGTTCTGTTTCCCAATGAACCCTGGCTGATACCCCACGGTCCTCAGAACAGTTACATAATTACTTTGCTATGCTCACTTCTTTGATCCAACAGGGATCAAGTGCTCTCCCTTTCACCCTCCCAGACCTGGTCCTACATTCTGCCCACTACAGCTCCTACAGTTATATCACTTAAAGAGAATTGATTTAAGGGCAGAAACTGAGTACTGTGATGTTCATAACGTTTTCTAAATGTAACCTGCATTTATATTAAGGGTCATTGGTGTGAACCGCTTATCATTTAAATCTGAGTAACACAATCATGACTTTCAATGTTGTTATATATGTGTGTAGTTAAGTTGAGTAGCTTTTATTCGATACCTAAGAATCTCAGAGTCTTTGTGGTATTTTGTATGTGTCACTTGATCAACTCTGAAAGTTTAAACACATTAGCATTCTTGCTTTTCGCAAGGAGAAGGCTGGAGTTTAACATTCCCATCTGCTTCTGGTCACCAGATGAAGTGAAGCTAGCAGTTGGAGATGCAGAGATGTTTTACTCACTACCTTTTGGTAACTCTGGTCTAACCACCTTATTACTATATTTAGAGTACTCTTCACTGTAAAAACATCCTATTTTCTTCTAAAGTACACATAGATTGAATCATTTCTGGGAGACGTTACCAATAAAATTAAATATTTGTTGGTGAAATCTTTAGTAAGTGATCCCAAAATTACTAAAAGAAGAAAAAAATGCCCTTTTAAAAATTTTCAGTTAATTTGAAGATCTGTAGTCAGTTCATTTAATTAAAAATTTAAGAGTTAGGATAAATATTATGTATATTGATTAAAATAATATGCTACTTGTTAGGTTTTTAAAATCAAAGATATGACTTCTATAGTATCAAAATAGTTTAAAAGGCATTTTTTTAAAAAATGTGCTTCTCCTTATCCCATAACACTAATAGTATTTTCCTGGCAATTCAGCAAACCTCTTAAAACTGAACAAAATTAGGATTTTGTGCTTCTATGTTTACATAGAAAGAGCATATCAGACTGACTTGATAATCTAAAGAAAAACCGTTCCTATTTCAAAGGTTCAGAAAATACAGGTTATTTACTATGCAGACCTCAACTTCTTGTTAAGTTGTTTTTGAGAAAGCAAATTAGAAAAACCTGGCCAGAGTTAGCGACAACTCAATCAGGTTGAAGCTGGGACTTTTATTCCAGCAGCTCCTGCTCCCCAAATTATATCTGATCATGCTCTAAACTTTAAACATATTTTAGCTCAAAAAGACACTTGGCTCTTAGATGTAAAATGGCACAAAGCTTCCAAAAAGCAACAAGTCCATGCACCCTCTTCAAACGATGTATTTGTATTCAGAGTGATCTGCCACTCACTACCTCTGAATTGTAACAGTTGAGGAACTGAAATGTTGAGCCGGAATGTTTGTTTTTCATTTTCCTGTATATAATCACAGGATAGGGGCATTAATAAGGGGGTTGGTGTATTGGGCAGTGCAGAGGCCTGTTATTTAGGCAGAGTCATGGCAACGGGGCAGAGCTGAACGTGCACAAGTGTAGAGTAATCTTAGGCTGCATCGTGTCAAGTGAAAAGAAGACGTGTGTTTGCAGATGCCAGAAGTAAAATATACAGAACTATTTGAAACTATCTTCATTTCCAAACTAGAAACAGCATCTACATTCCCCCCATATTTAAGAAACACTGTTGGTAAGTCCTCCCCCAAACCAGCTACAAAAGTATTATTATCTGTAAAGCAATATGGCGCCCATAAACTCCAAATTGGCAAAATCCACTGAACTGCATTTCAGAGCAGAGTAGGAAACTTGAAATGGTCGCGCTCTGAGGATGTCCACGTGGGTGGGCAAGCATATGTTGCTGCTAGGCAGAGGAAGTGGTGTACCACGATTTCTTCATAAGTGCGAGGTCTTTATAAACTCATCCTTCTGGGGGCTGCTTTAAATAGAAAGAAAATGACACACAGTCCCCAACCAAGCTTCCTAACTGTTTGAGAAGGGTTGCTACTTTCCCAAAACATTTGGTTACTGTGGGGGAATTTTCCAAAATTGTCAACCATTTCATTTTTAAACTCGATTCTTTCTCTCAACATAAGACAGATGGAATACGGCAGGAGCTATATTTGGTTTAGCAGGAGATGCAAATTATTTTTACTATGCTGACTCCTACCTGACAGTGGAAGACATATTCTGGTGTGGTTTTCTTAAACTTCATGTTCCAAACCAAGGCCACTCCATCTGGTTCGTGGGGAGCGTCTTCATTGTTGTTGTAAGAAGCAACCATTAGCTCAGGGTACTGGAAGGAAGAGGTTGTATGGATGGATTACACTGGGATGACAACACAAGGAAAAATTTAATTTTGACATTCATGTGCTATACTACACAGTTTAAATGGGGCTTTCTTTTGAAATTATGACATGCTTAATACCATAAGCTTACTGTCTCAACCTACTACAATCTGGGGCAATCCTCAACCTCCAACACTGTACGTGCTGCCACAATCACTGATAACTACTGAACTCCAGCACTGCCCAGCCTCTCTGCATTATCTGATGATTTGGGTTACTCCCTTTTTGCTCCTATTTTGGCTTCCGTTACATCTTCCTCTCCTGAGTTTCCTTCCTTTCTTTTCAGTCCCCACAGGTTCTCCTTCCATTACATACATTCCCAAGAGGGCTGTTTCATGCTCCTTTTCCCCTCCGTCTATACGTTCTCCCTGGGTAAACTCATCTATTCTGAGGGCTTTAATAAGCTTATGAGGCTAATAATTTTCAAAGCTATATCTCCACGTTTAATTTCTCTGAGCTGGGGACCCTGACTGCCTGCGGAGATTTGTCAGAGCTGTCTGTAGACACAGCAGATGCAGCACATACACAAACGAGCTTGCTGGCTTCCTCACAAAACCGACCACCCCTCAAGTGTTCTACTGGGGAAGACAACAGCTACTGCAGGGCATCCTGCCTCCAGGCTGGCCAGCCCTGCCCTATCCACTCTACGCTCCATCACTTGTCAGGATGACGCTATGAAATACTTATCTGACTAAGTCCCTCCTCACCTTAAAATACTTTATTGGCTTCTTCATTTATTTCAAGGCAAAGTCCAGGTCATGTAGGATCCTTCATGGTTTGTCATTTTCTGCTTTTCCTGTTTATTCTCTTATGACCTACCATCTCCCCCAGCCCCTGTACCTGTGAGGCTGATGCTCACTCTCATCAGAATACCTCATCACCTCAGAATGATGATGTTTGCATCATTAATTCATTCTCCTAGATGCATCTCAGGCATCAAGTCCTCTGAAACATCCACCCCTTCCTTGCCTCTTCTCAGCTCCCTTAGTGTTCTGTGTCCCTCCATTTCCAGTGAAAGCATCTGTCAAGTTGTATTACTGACATTTCCCCACCTAGGTCTTTCACCAGACTACAAACTCTTCAAGGATAGGGATGGGTTTTATTGACCTCTAAACCCAGGGTCCAGGAATTCCTCGCACATGCTAGACTTGTACCAAAACCTGATGCAATTGATTTTAGTTTCTACTTTTATAAATGTTTTATTTCATTAACTTTGTGCTCAGTAGAAAGGCCTTATAGTTAATCTTGTGTTGTCAAACAATGCCAATAATTAAAGGCTTACATGCAAGAAACACGACCAGCAAAATAACAAGGAGGGCTCGCTAGTGATGCCAGGTGTTGGAAATAACTCCTCACCCTAAGTGAACTCAGTCTTGAGCATTACCAAACAAACTGAAGGTAAATCTCAGAGAAGTATTTATGAGTTGGGGTACATTCATGAAAATGCCATTCCTGTTGGATATTGTCCTAAGGCAATTCGATTAAAACTGGCATCAGGATTAGGGCAGATCATATCTCTCTTTTCATAGATGACTTCATTTTCTCCATTTTTCACTATGCTGTGTGCGTATAACACACACACACATATATGTTTAGCATAAGATTTCCATTATTTGAACATGGACTTTTCTTTTTCTATCAAAAACAACTAATCTAAGTCTTCCATGTGGCTCGGCAGTAAAGAAAGCTGCGGAGAGTTACAACTTGCTGCCTTGTGGGGAGGAGGTATACGTGTACAACGACTCACATGCATGTGGCCACCGGGGGAAGTAATCATTCTTTATTAGAAAACACTCCTCAGCAGATGAATCAAAGGCCTATTAAGAAAGGCCTTTGATTCAAAGCCCATTCAAAGAAACTAACATCCAGATAAACACAGAAGTCTCCAGACTGTCCATCTGAAGTTTAACTATGTCACATGTGAAAAGGCAACTCTATAAACATCGGCACCACGACCACAGGGGCCAAGGAGCAGCCAGATGTGTCTGGAATAATATCCTCCAGCTTCACATCTGGGTCTCATCGTTCACACCCACTTGCAGCTTTTCTTTTTTCCCCTTTTAAACATATTTTAAATTATTTAGCTTTAAATCTCCTTTAGAAATCAGGGGATGTTTTTGTAAGATACCAGTGGATGTCTTTAGCATATTCTCTATAACTGGGATCATAACATCTAAAGATATTGATCTAAATCCTCCTGCAAGTTTTCATGACTTCACAGCGTCCTCTTGTATGTCCTTTTCTATTATCTGTTTGTTTAAACATAACTAGTCATACTTTCTTAGTCTTCAGTTAAAATTTTCTAGACCATTATTTAAATCTGAAATGTTGCTAAAATTATAATTTTAAAGAGAATATGAACAATTATGAAATTTGGGATCAGCTGATCACAAATCCAGCTCATTGGATTGCCCAATATTAAACACAGGGGAATTTTACCTCAAAATTACCAGATATGCTCTCAAGCCTGGTTTGTTCTTAGAGAGAAATGAAATCTAATGTTTATTGGAGAGGAAAGAACCAATATGTCTTAAGTGTCCATTATGTTAGCCGGGTGATATGTTCATTCTTTTGGTCCTCACAACTCTCGAAAGCAGGCAATAGTTTACTTATTTCTACAGGCAAAGAAGCCAAAGATCCTGGGTTAAATAATTTGTTCCAAATTCTGTTGCAATAAGTGATGACGTGAGAACCCCACTTGAAGTCTGTTTGGCTTCAAAGGCCACATCCCTTGGCGTCCTCTGGCATGTATTAAGTGCTCTGTACATGTATAAGGCACGGTGCCAGGTCAAATGTGGGACAAGGATGCCATGGTAACATGCTCTGCTCTGTAGGAACTCACCATTGAGCAGAGGGAGGAAATACACATGTTGGAATGAGTACAACACAAACATAAACGCCAAGCATGGCACGTGCTAAGATGGAGGTTTAAGCAAGGTTCTGTAGAAGCATGGAAGAGAAAATAACAATGTTAGTTGGAATGGGGTGTGGCAAGGGGGGATAAGTTGGACGGGTCTTCTGAGAAGAAATGGGGCTTGAGTTGGGCCTTGCCAAGTGGGTAGGTTATTAGGAGAGAAGAGAGAGAAGAGTATGGACAAGTGTACAAAGACAATGCAGGAGATTCCGCCTGGGTCATGTGAGTCTCTGTCTTTGGAAATTACCCCAATACATAGATGTCTAACTTCCCAGGGATAATTAATTACTTGCAGAGCTGATACATGACCCAGTTGGGCCAATCACATTGTCTAACACAGGTATTTTAAATTCTAAACAGAGACACAGAACTCCTAGCCTGACAAATGCGTCAGGATACTGCATCTTACTGCTGTGGGACCGCAAGCTCCTCAGTTTTCTACTACTCCTGAGTTTCCATTCTTCACCTTTTTCATGGATTCCCTTACTGTGCTAGTGGCTGTCTAAGAAATTCCTCTTTCTACTTAACCTGGCTAAGGGCAAAGCGTCTTGGCAATTATGGTAAAGAAGAATGCATATGTTTAGGAGCCATCAGGTTGTAAGTACTTGGCTGGGAAGAAAGGCCTGGAAATGCCTAGGGTGTCATCAGAGCAGTCACTGAGCACAGGCTAGATTTAAGCTACTTGGGAGGCTGAGGGCAGGAGGATTGCTTAAGCCTAAGAGTTTGAGGTTGCTGGGAGTTTATGATGACACCACAGAACTCTATCCAGGGTTAGAGTAAGACTCTGTCTCACAAAAAAAAAAAAAAAAAAAAAAGATTTTACTCTGGAGACATGAGTCATACTCAGCAACTACTAATCCTATTATTACTCTTCTCAATACTATGTTGCGTTTATTGAGTCTTTATGCACCTTTAGGTACATTAACTCATGTAATACGAACAATAAGCATGTGAGCTAGGTGTTGTCGCTATCATCATTTTTAGAGTGAGAAAATTTAAGCCGAGAGAAAATAGGCCACTTGGCCAAGTTGACACAGAGAATACGTGAGTAATCTTTACAAAGATCAATCTGGTAAAAGTGCTTATAATGGCTCAGCCATGTAGAGACTGGAAGTGTGGGGGCCACTAAGAAGCTATTTCCTAATATAAGCAAGAAGTACAGGGCGCAAAAAGTAGGTGTCAAATTCATATGTTTGTAGATTTAAATTTGTGTCAGTGGGAGTCTTTTTGCTACCATAAATTTGACTGAATTTAGCAAGGAAATTAACCATCAGAGATTCCACAGGTTTGGCCAGGTATGGTGGCTCATGGCTATAGTCCTAGTACTCTGGGAGGCAGAGGAGGGAAGATTGCTTGAAGTCAGGAGTTTGAGAGCAGCCGGAGCAGAGTGAGACCCATCTATACTAAAAATAGAAAAATTAGCTGGTGTGTGGGTGCACACCTTTAGTCCAGCTACTTGGAATGTTGATGCAGGAGGATTGCAAGAGCCCAGGAGTTTGAGGCTGCTGTGAACTAAGCTGAGGCCATGGTACTCTAGTCTGGGTGACAGAACAAGACTCTGTTTCAAAAAAATAAAAATCTCAAGAATGGAAAAGCAAGCATCTCATGTACTCAATACTAATCTGAAACTAGTAGGTCAAAAACTACAACCTGATGCTAGAGAAACACCCAATTAAAGTTAAGAAGGGGGGAGGAGAGAGGACTCAGAAAGTTCCTCCTGTTGGGTAAAATGTAGGGTATATGGTACACCTCCTGGGTGAAGGACTCAACTACAACTTGGTCTTTGGACTTTATCCTACAGATGCAAATAATGTAACCTAATCATATGTACCCTCATATCAACCCGAAATTTCAAACTAAGATTACTCGGGTTTACGCCTTGGATGACTACAGAATAGGAGGATGCCATTACATGTGAGAGGAGTCTGCACCAAGGGGGTGGGGTCCTGAGCTGGTTCTGTCCACATCTGCAAAATCTGCCTCATGCTATTACTGACCCACTGTGCTAAACAATGTTCAATGAGTGACAGAGTTGATTGACCTAATTCCCCAAGTTCCCAAATGCTTTCCAAGGAATGATGTGCCAATAAATTTGCAAATATTACAAAGTTAAAGTGTTCTTCTTGAAGGAGCCCAGAAGATCAAAGCCAAGCCAAGCTAAAACCTTAAAATATTTTCCCTTTTCACCCCTCAGCTTCATTCTGTTACGCTCAGAAAATCAGCCCCAGCACACACGCCACCACCAGATTCCAAGACTGGCCCCCTCTTTTTCAGCATCTTTGGATCATATTCAGATCCTTTCAGAAAGTCTCCTCATCCCAGAAGCCTGTCAATCTGGCCCTTGGAACCCTGCACAACTGGTGAGCTATGGGGACTGAGGGCTCCAGATCCTTTTTCTTATGCCCCATGTAAAATACACTTTTCAGAAATACAAACCCCTTCCTTGCAGTGAGGAGGGCCACATTACGTAAATGTGGGAGAAATAACGTGGCCTCCTTATGGTAGAGTTTCTGCCTTTCCCAGTTTCCCTTGCTGCCACACAGATATCCCACAGGACCCTGTGTGGAAACACACCCATGGGCAATCCAGCCCTCCCCCCTGCTGGGGCAGGTGGGGGCCGGTCCTGTGGAGGGAGACCAGCCACCTTCTCAGGGAGTGTCCCGGTGACTGGAACGCGGGGACAGTTGCCTTTGAGGAATGTGTCAGATAAGGTTCCTGTGTAATTTCCAGACTTAGAACAAGTGAACAAGCTGAGCTAAGCGTTTCCTCAGGCTTGGATCTGATTTCTGCGCTCTCCGAGGGCTCAGAGACCACCCACACACCGGCGGGAGGCGGCTGGGCAAGCCTGTTCCGCAGTCTCTGCTCCATCATGAGGGTGTGCTCTGCTGTTTGGATGTAAAAGGGGATTCAAGAGGAGAAACAGTCACTCCCTTGGTGGCTGACAGTCCCGTTTGGGAGCTGTTCTGTTCATTTAGTCCTGGAGGACTAAATGGGGCTCTTCTTATGATGTATTTTATGACCCTGCCTAGAACACCTTGTTCTCCCCACCATTTGTCTGAGAAACCCAGTCTGACCAGCGATAGATCCCAATCCTGCGGAGCTCTGGGAGCACCTGCTATCTGTCCTGGATCATTGAGCACCTACAAGCCCTCTCAGTATCAGATTCAGCTCTTTGAGGGAAGTAGCGGTTAAGAACATATGCTTTGGAATGCTAGAAGACTTGGGTTTAAATCCCCACTTGACACATCCTAGCTGAGTGATTTTTAGCTTTTTCTAGCTTCGCTGAGCCTCGGTTTTTTCAAATTTAACATGGAAATAGTAATAGTGGCTGCCTCATTTGGTTGTTACGAGGGTGAAATATACAGCCTTCAGGGCAGGGGGCAATGTGCTTTGTATGTACAGAAGAAACACCAATTAAAAGCTAGCTATGCAGCCTGCATTGTGGTTCACTCCTATAACCCTAGCACTTTGGAAGGCTGAGGCCGGGGGATTGTTTGAGGCCAGAAGTTTGAGAAGAGCCTAAGAGTGAGAGCCTGTCTCTACAAAAAATAGAAAAATTAGCTGGGCATTGTGTGTGGGAGGCTGAGGCAAGAAAATCACTCTCAAGCCCAGGAGTTTGAGTTTGCCATGAGCTATGTGGATGACAACACTGCACATTAGCCGGGGGGACAGAACAAGATCCTATCTCAAAAAATAGAATAAAATAAAAACAAGAAAAAAAAACAAAACAAAACCAAAACTAGCTATGCCAGCCTGCGCACCTTAGCAAGACCTGGTCTCTACAAAAAATAAAAAAATAATAATAAAAATTAGTCAGTCATGGTGACTGTAGTCCCAGTTGCTTAGGAGGCACAGACAGGAGGGTTACTTGAGCCTAGGGGTTCAAGGTTGCAGTGAGCTGTGATTGTGCCATTGCTCTCTAGCCTGGGTGCCAAAGTGAGACCCAGTAACAGTTAGGCTGTGTGCCTGTGAACATGTCACTTACCCACTTGATGCTGGGCATAGTGCTTTGTATATTTTCAACTAGTTGAGTTGGACATTCAGGGAAATTTAGTTTTAGTAAATTTTCCTGCCTTCACTCTGAATACCACACTAATGAGTTTAGATGATTATCCCTATGGATGATGGAGAGTTTTAATCCAGGGAGTGAAATGATAAGATTTGTATTTTAGAAAGATGGTTTGGGGCGATGTCTAGAAGGAAAACTGTAGGTGGACAAGAATGGAGGTAGAAAGACCAGTCAGAGGGTTAACAATAGTACACGTGCAAGATGATGATCGTGTGAGGAGAGAAATGGCTGGTCTTGGTGACAGATTGGTTCTGGGAGATAAAGGAGTGGAAGCTGGGAGTGTTGATGATGAGAGCTCTGATTCAGGCCCCTGGGCATATTGCGACGTCTTTAACACAGAGGTAATGTAGCATGCAGAAAAGGATTTCAGATATATGGAAATGGTATGTTAATGATTAGTTTGAGATTCTATGGGACACCTAAGGGGGTCTGTCTGGTTTGCAAAATGAAATTCAGGAAGGAGATTGGGTGGGAGACTTAAACAAGCTGCCCATGCTGTAGTTGAATCCTAACAGTGGAAAGGACCTCCCACAGAGAGTATCAGGATGAAGAGTAGAAGTTGAGGACATGACCACAGGAGCCTCAGGGGGGTAGAAGGAAAGGAAGCCTCAGAGAAGTAAGAGAACTAGAACAGATTTGAGTAGAAACAACTTAGAAGTTAGAGAACTAGAAGAGAGTTGAGTAGAAACAACTTAGCAGAAGAAGGTTGTTTCCATAATCACGGAGAAGTCAACTAAACTGGTTGACGAGGAAAGGTCAGGGCAGATGAAGGTTTAAAAATATCCACAGGACTTGACAAGTAGAAAATCACTAGTGACCTTAATAAGCACAATTTTGTGGATAGAATGGTCCAGCTCCTTGTTGGGTACCTAACACATAGGAGATACTCAAAAAAACCAAACAACTGAGTGAAGATTTTAAAATGAAATTAGTAAAATGAGAAAGAAAACTAATAGGCACAGAAGAAAAAATTGTAGTTTAGTAAACATATTTAAATTGGAGTAAGAAATCTCTCTTATTTTTATTTTCATACAAATGCCAGTAGAACACAGGCCCCATCTGTGCCATCCGAGCAATAATTCTTACCTGGAGAGACCAGTCCATACAAGTGACCACACGATGCTTGGACCAATGTTCATCATAGAACTGACGATTGAAAGAAAGATTGGCTCCAGCCTGAACATCCCTAGGAGAGTTTAAACATCAGAGATAAAAAAGATGTTTCAGAATGGGGCTCTCTCCCATTGAAACATGAGATGACAAATGCATGGCACACAATACTCTCTGGAGCCAAAATAGCAATCTAGACAGCAAACTGGTTAAAATAGATGAACCAAAGATGATCTCCTTTATAAAAAGCTCATTCTAACCTGGTCCAGAAAGAGTTTCCCCAGGTTCCAAGCCTGGTATGAAATGTCCAGTTGGTTTCAGGCTTCCATCTTGACTAGTCTGAATCCTTCTCCTCTTCCTAATAGGCTGTAGCCTGAAGCAGTGTTTTTTAGAAATCTCCTGCATCACACTAGGGGATTCTTTGATATCAATACTACCTTATCTGCCCTTAGACCAAAGGCGGTATGTGTGTTTCAATTTAATTTGTTTTGCAAATTCTGATCACTGTAGCGACTGCCTCCTTGCTCAATAGTTAAGTGATAATTTCTATCATGAGATAGGCTTGGTGGAGAGTGGAGGATTCACCACATGTGTTTCAGATACGTACCATTCCCTACCATAGATCAAAACAGCATCTGGGTCTGCTCTGGGAGGATTACACTTTGACCAGTGTTTGCTTGGCTGACACTCAACTGGCCACAACACCACCTTCGAAGAACTCAGCACTTGGCCATGCGGTTGCTCTATGAGGCTGAGTATTTAAATTGAGTAATGCTTGTTTTATGCCAGCAGCTTTGGATCTGCATTAAAAGCTTCCTAAATTGCTTGGGCTTTGGTTTGGAAATTCTTTTATATTCACCTTTCCCTTGCTGGTTTGCGTTATTCATTCATTGGCGTGCACCCTGCCTTGCCTATACAGCTCTCCCTCAGCCTGGTGACTGGACTTCAGACAAGTTATCTGGGGTCGAATTCATGGACCAATATGACTTTTCCTACTGCAAACGCTTCCTTCACCTCCACCATTGCAAACTTGGGCAAGAGGTACCGGTACTCAAGTCCTTCCAGGAACCCAGGATAATCCTTGGCCAGGCATCCAGAGGTAGATAGGCCCAATAAGATCAACTAAGTCATGGAGCAAAAGGCAATAAACATTGAAGAATATATATATCCAAAAGATTGTTGTGTCTTCAGGGTATTTTGCCAGTTGCAGAGAACATTTTCAGAACTCCTTTTTGAACTGAAACTGCCTTGAGCGTTTCCATCACATTTGTGTGCATCCCCATGGCAATGACTTTGTCCTTTATGAAGGCACTTGAATTTTACAAATAGTGAAAGATTATCTCTGGTGTAAAAGGCAAGTGATCCTACGTTCACACATTGTTCTCACCAAAAGAAATCTGTGGCTAAAACCCAGCTAGCAGGCTCATAGAATTTATCTTATTATCCCTGTGCTCGTGGGCTACAGCCACTGTCTTTTTCAATACATATGCTGAAGCTATAGAGAAAGTCATTTAGGGACACTTTTTTTTATTGATTAGGGTTTTTAAAAAATGTTTTATCTGTTATCATAGCTTTGCATAAGTGTTTTCTAAAATGTTATAATATATATAATCATCTTATGGGACCAAAAAGAGGCAAACTTTTCCAGTTTCTGTTCACTATCTCCCACATCAGTTAGGTTCTCCCTATCTGGTGTTTATTTTCTTCAGCTTCCTGTTTGCTTAGATATCAAGAATAGAGCTAGTGGAGATAACACAAATCTCCTTTGCTCTTTATAAGAATGCTTTCTCAAAGGATAATGCATGTGACTTTGCCGGTTTCTATCACCTGGACCATTTCCCAGATATCAAGTTCAAAAGCATTTCAGGGAAGCACATGATAATTACAGGGAAACTCTAAGCCAGACATTATCACCAAAGCCCGCCGTCAAAGCTGTTCAGCGGCATCAAGCCTGGAATTTCAATCCTGATTTGTTAAATTTGGGATGTGCCTAGTCAATGCATAATTACATTTAGAATCGACAGATAACTTAGGCTATTTTTGAGAAAATGCACACAAGAGACTAACCCATCTTTTTCTTCTAATTCTCGACCACTGTAGTCAAAAAAGATGTCTGTGTCTTCGGCCAGTGCTCTTTCAATTACCCGTATTGTTCGATCAAAAAAGATGAGAAATTCCTCTGAATGAAGGATCTGCTGTTTTTCTTCCTCTGTCAACTCCCTTGGAGGGGCTTTTTTTTTTTTTTTGTAGAAGAGATTGTTAGGAAAGAAAGAAAGGACAATTAAAACTTATCAAGAGGAATGCAAGTCTTGAAAGAGACTGCTTATCAAAGGAGAGGTAAGGCACAGTGAAATGAACTGGTAATATCCATTCTAAATGATTCCCAAACACACCGAAGGCCTTTGCAGCTGTCCCCACAAAAAGATTTTATATCTGGCCTAATTACTATTTTGAAGAAATGGAAACAGTTACAAAGAAAAATAGATTAGTGTGTTTTTAGCAATTGGTTTTGAATATTATTTTCTTTGAAACTAAACTTGGAAAAATAGCTGAGAGATGGTATAATCAATACATTTATAAAACTGTATTTATACACACAGTTGCACTATTACTAAGCTGGCATTATTAAATAATTAAGAACCCTCTATAACACAATCCACATGGTACCTTTTCTTTTTTTACTGCATAAATTCATTTTATTTTAGATGGTTAGTTGGGAAGGTTGACTGTTACATAGATTTTATTAAAAAGCTGAAATATGTCCTTCCAAACCTGCCATCACTCCAGATATCTTCTGCTTTTAAACAAACACATAGAACAAATAAATGCTTCTACAAAACACCTCACAATTGTTTTTATGCCTTAATTTTCTAGCATGATTAATTTTATCAAACTAAATTTGAAGATACAAAAATAAGAAAAAGAGAGATCAAGTAGCAGTGTGTCATAGTTTCTGAAAGTTATCCCCCCTTACAGTCACCGTTCAGTAACAACATAAACCATTCCTTTAGAACAGGTTTTACATAAAACTAGAAGGAAGGGATTAGGAACCTCCCCAGACTGAAAAACCCTCAAGGGTAGAAACTGTCTGCTGAACCTCTGTGGTTCTTCAGGATCTGTAGTTCAACTCTGGTGATGAGAACCTTCAATAATTGTTTGATTGATTACTCTTTCAGTAGGACAGAAGCTCCTAAAGTTAAACCTACAAGAGGCGGGCATTGAATTACAATCACAGGTGGGGTCCTTGGTGGAATCATTTATCCCCAGAGTTTTACAGACACTTCCACAACCATCCCAATAACCAAGAACCATTTCTACCTGGCCATGTGGTCAAAGATTTTTACGTACAATCACTGTATCAGAAGGTTTTATGGAAGTGTTATCCGATTTGATGGATGATGTCTTAAAGCCACTATCCTAAGGAATCTGAACTGTCCAGAAGCCCTTCTGCAGAGTCGTGGGATGGAACATTTCTCTCCTTCTAACATCCCCATCCCTGCTCCCCACCAACACGCAGGGTGTCTGGAAGGACTTGAGCATCTCTATTCACAGAAACGAGAGTGATTCAGATGTAGCGGCTGACACTCTGAGAAATGCTCGCCAGGTATATTATGTCGATGCAGCCGCTGCAGCAGATGCTCTCCAAACAGATTCCACCCCATGGCTTCTAGCAACCCTAAATACAGCTAGAAATACGTTTTTTGCTGCCTATTCCAGAGCCCTAAATATGCCATGGTGTACTGGAACTTTTGAAGGACCCTTATCAACTTTTACTAAGCAGTTTGCCCAGACACTAACTTGAGAATCAGTGAGGTGGGCTATGTGTATACTCAGACTTTGGACAGACACTGGGGAATAGGTGAAGGCCATAAATAACATGAGGAACTTTACCAAACCAGCCTGGAATCAAACATGCACCCTGTTATCTGCTAGGTGTGATTCTTTAACAAATTCTTTGACGTTCTCTGAGTAGCAGTTTTATCTACAAAATGCAGATAATGATGCCTAAAATTTAAGTCTGGTTTACGAGTGAAAAATAAATCTATTGTGCAAATAGTTAAGCATTTACTAATTAGTAATTAAGTAGTAATTTCATAGTCTACTTTCTAAAGCTCCCATAAGTGAAATACCTGAATTATCTCACTCAAGAATACTACTAGATGGAATTAGGCAAAAGGGGAGGAAAAAAACCCTATACAATGTTAAATCCATTGGTTTTTGTTAATATGTTATTAATACATTGAAAAATAAACTTCACAAAACAAGGATAATACGGGCCAAGAAGACTGTCTTATTTTAAAAAGACTCACTCAGCCTTGGTCATTGTTAATGGATGATTTGAGACACATTTGAAATTAAGCAAAGAAGTAGGATCTTTCCCCCTTCATTCTTTTTCTTCAAATGATATCAAAATATTTCTAGTTTCTGTTTATCTTCTGGAGCCACTTCTGTTTCACCTGTATCTTTCCTTACAGGTCCATTACCTTGACTAAAAAATAGTATCTATGTAATTCCCTGTGATTTTTTTTTCTTCCCCGTAGCTTATTGTCACTTTGATCTCAGCTTTCAAGACACACGACTTCTTCTTTAAGAGAAACATAAAGGGCTGATCAAAGTGTGCTTGCAGAGGCCAAGTTCAGGTAGGTGAAGCAGTAGCCTCTCCAGATATTATGTTTGACAATACAGTATTTGGCTTGAAATTAAGTTGCTACTGAAGCAAACAAAGGATATATTTTATATTAAGCTTTGATGTCTAACAGGGATCAAATGACATGATTTGTTAGCACACAATAATCAGATGCATGTGCAGATGAGTACTTTTAAAAAGTCATAAACAATATTCAACTTAGGAGTTAAGTAGGGGTATACTTACTTTTGATATAAGAAAAAAAACTTCCCCTACTTAAAAATCTTTCAATTGATAAGTGCTGTTATAATATAATGAAAACATAATGGAGTATCCTGGAAATACAACCTATATTCAGCGACACAAACCTCTCCAGACATTTCGTGAAAGAAAATTGATTGATTAATGGAATCCAGAAAGTTCAAAGTATAGGAATAAAGCAAATAGGATCAGAATTGCTTTACTCCATATATACCCAAATTCTCCCTGAAATAAGTGTTTCTGCAGCTTTTTCCTAACGAATTTACTTTTAATAAGTTCACAGCATAAAATTAAGACTAAAAAGTGTAGCAGAACAAAACATGGGCACTGATGATATTTTAATTTTCTTATAAGCAAAAATGCTATTATGGAAAATGTTTTGTTTGCTTGTTTTTGTAACACAAAACATGGACTGTTTCTGCCAAGAAGTGACAGCTAATACTTTATGCATCTAAAGTGCTCTTAAAAAAAATTATTTGTGAAAAGTATAACACACGGTTATAACTTACATATTTAAATTATAAGATAATTTTTGAGTTTACCAAAATTTACCAAGTTATGTTTAGCTTTGAAAGAAATGTACTGAATTTATAAAATTCAAAATTTAGGCTACCTCTGTGGCCTATAAAATTAAAATCTAAAATAAATTTTATTTAGGATCCACTTTTTATTCTTTTTATTATAGAAACATTAATTTCTCTTAGCTTTACATAAGAAAAAATACTTTTAAAATTATCTTTCAAGATGATCATTTTTATTTGCTGTGTTTTCTCGACTGTTCTTATTGATCTTAATATGTACTTTGTCCATCTCTGTTTAATTTATTCTATTTACCACATACTACTTTTGGTTTCTAGGGTTCTTGGGATTTTTTCCTGTGTAAGATATAAAATTCATAATAACATTTGTAACTTTTATTGAATTATTTAAATATCTTATTTTTAGGCTAAAAGTTATTTTAAAATTATTCAATTCAGAAATGTCTTTCCTGTTTCAGTGATGCAACTTGAAATTTCAACATGAAAGTTAAATTTAAAAATATTTTTCAAGAATATCTAAAAGACAAAAAAATTAACAAACCTACATGGCCAGGAAAAACATCGGGTTAAATAGCGACCGTGGTTCTCAGGAGAATTTTACAATAAAATCAGTTCACAAGCAGCAGCAAGAAAACCAAACCAAACTCACAGTGAAGAACATCCCTCCCTGAAGTTAATGGGAGGTTTGTGAGTTAATTGATATTTACAAGAGTTAGGTTCCTGATTCTGTTGTTTTGAATCTCTAAACATGAAGATGCTAGGACACCGACATGTAGAAATTGCTAAAATATACTCACTGTTTTTTCCTACTGTATTGCAGGAAAAAAAAAGAAAGTAAAACTATATTTCTTTGCTGTTTAATGCATTTTGATATCACTGGGGCAAAAATGTCAAAAGCTAGTGAGCACTGATGGTTTTCCCCATCTCCGTCTCACCACTTTTTCTTTATTTCTTCACTTCAAAAAAAAAAAAAAAAAAGGCCAAATAGATTTCTCAAAAATGTGTTTCCTGGTTTGAAACTGTGTATGTCAAGTTTCAGCCCAGAGCAAATTTTTATGGCTGAGTAATAAATCCCTGAAACGCAGGGTTCATAATGGAAGTGCTGACACAGCCCTAACTCCTATGCAGCCGTGCGAATGGCGCCACCATTATATCTGCTAGAGATTCTTTCAAAAGTTTGCAAAATACTGTCTTGCTGAAAAAAAAAAAAAGAAGCCAGGGAGTTTGATGCCAACATAAACATGCTTTTAACCCATTACGTGCTAATTTGCAGAAAAGCCATTAATGGAAAATAAGGCACACACGGTACAGCGGTCACAGGAAATGTTCTTTGAAACTTCATTTTGACTTTTAACGTGACTTTAATCAATTCCATGAAGCACGAGTAACAGTTTAAACTGAAGGGTGTTTTTGCTCAGAAATTAAGAAGGAAGTTGCTTTGCTTTGCCAGAGAAGATGGTTTGGAGGTTGGGTTGGGGGTGGTAGTGACAGGGAGTTCATGCCGAGACTCACAAAACCTACCCTGGCTCCTATCACCAGGCATATTTTAAGGATATTTTATAAAAGTTAAAATAGAGTATTTTGATGGATCCTGACTATTTTGTCTCTTGCTACACCTGTGATAATGACATTCTCTTCACCAGCTTTTTAAAACTAGATGTTTTTAGTAGAAGTTTAAACGTTGAATCTCTTCCATCCAATCTATTTAGACTCTCCCAGAAAAAAACAACCCTGTGTCTTTTCTGGATGCCACTTGTAAAGATGCTAAATCTTCTTTCTGCCCCCACTTATACCTCAGACTCTGACAGCAGTTGAACCCAATGCCTCAGATCACGTATAGTGACAGAAATAGGGCCCTTAATGATAGTTCTCCAAAGGGACTTGGCTTCCGTCACTTTTGATATTTTCACAATTTCTGTCAAGTCAGCTAAGCCCTAGGTAACCATTTTCCCATTCCAAAGCTATGGGCTATGGCAAAGCCCATGCCAGAGAATTGGTCGACCCAGAGGCATCCATCATCCCATTAGGGATGGAGCCTGGTTAGAGACCCAGGGACTCCCAGGCAAGACTATTGATAATAATTCAGCAGACTCTGGGAGTTCATGCCAAGACACACAAAACCTACCCTGAGATAGCACATACTTTGTGCCAAGTATTATTCCATACTAGCCCTGCTGAGTCTTAAAAAAAAAAAAAACTTTAGGAGGTAGATATTATCTCTGCCAGAAAGGTAAGGAAAAGTTACACCTAAGGTAATCAGTAGTGATCACACAGCTGATAAGTGACTGAGGCAAGATGGGATCCCAGGTGGTATGGCTCCAGAGTCTCTGCCTCTTTTTCTATCATTATTCTATACTGGCTTTTACATATCTGAGATAGCACAAAACAAATTAAAAATAAAATTAAATACACACACACACTTCAAATGATCCTCAACATGAAGCCTTTCAAACTCTCACATGTAATTTATCTGTATGATATGGATGCCATGGTAATAGGAATCCCTGGTATTCTAATTTTCTTTTCTTTTCTTTTCTTCTTTTTTTTGCAGTTTTGGCCAGGGCCAGGCTTGAACCCTCCAGCCCTGGTATATGGGGCTGGTGCCCTACTCCTTGAGCCACAGGCACTGCCCCGCAGGTACTCTTATTTTCTCACCAGAGTACAGGGGGTTGAAGTGAGTACATGGGATCAATATGTACCAGTTCCTACCAAAGTCTCCAGTGCTGATTATGTGTCACGTACCGTGCCAGAGCCACTTCACAATTTACAAATCAAATGAGCTTCTAGTTAGAATTAGATTGACCTATATTTGGAACACTCCATAGGATAGATGGAAGAACTTCTAAAATCTACACTCCCTTCTCAGGTCCTATGCTCCCTCTGACAATAGAAAGACAATTTCAAAATTCTCCTTTGTCCCAATGGGCTGAGAATCTCAAAGTAGTACGAAATCAGATTTGTAAGACAACGTCCTCTGCAGTATCCCCCCCCCACTTCCTTCTCTTTCTTTTTCCCCTCCCCCCATTTACTTCCTCATCCAGGGCTATCACATGAGGATGGCATTGTAGTGATTAAATATACAGGCTTTGGATTCATTTCTAAGTCTTGGCTCATGTACTTATAAATTATATATCCTTGGGTAACTTTTTAAACCTCTCTCTTCCTAATATCTATCTATAAAATAGGAATAATATAAGTATCTGCTTCAAAAGGATGTATTGAGGAGTAGATATCTGACCTCTCCTTGTGTTAGATATCTGTACTCTATCTCGTGTTAGAGGAGAGCCCAACGCATAGTGACCTGTAATAAATGTTAGGCTCTACCTCTACCAGAACACATAAAGAGCTTCTTCCTCTTTATAAAGGTGTGGAAAAGAACTTCTAACAGCACAGTTAATGGCAATGATCACTGTCAAGGTTTCTATGTAGATCACATGTAAACACTTTAGCATTTACTGACAAAATAAATAATTGTATCTAATCCTTTCTTTTACTGTTATCATTGAAAATATTTAGTGGAGGGAATGAGAGAACATAGAACGATTGATAACAAGTATCTTCTTTTATCACTATTTGGTAATGATTTTACTGGAGTTGCGACCAGAGTTTGTTACTGAAATTGCAGATGGTTTGTGTTTTACTTGCTTCTATCAGTTTAGAAATAACTCTTGGTTTGGAGTTTGCGGTTTATGTTGTTACATATTAATGTATTGAACAATCCTAGAAAACCTTCCACACAGGGGATGTAAATTTAAGTTTTACCTACCTCTATAGTCCCTGACATGGGTAGAAGCAAGGAAAACAACAAAATAATTACTCACTTCATCTCCCACACCATACCTTCCTTCACCTCCTGTTTTTTATCTTGGTTTTCCAGTTCTGAATCATGGCCGACTTTGGGTTCCACCATTTCCTCATCTTCCTCATCCTCTAGAAAAAAGAATGAGAAAAATGCAAATTTTTTCCTTCAAATCAAAGTCTTTGGTTGATAGTGGGAGGTAAGGGTAAAGGGTAAAGTTCTAATCATTTAGGGCAACTTCTAAGTAAATCAGTCCACGACGAATGCCCAAGATAAATGGTTATGAATATATGAATAAATTATCTCCAAAAGGGGCCTCTTTGAAATTCTCCCTAAACTGCCGCGAAAACCGCCCCGAGTGGGCACCTGCTACATCCATGTCCAGGCCCTCACCATGTGGGATGTCTTAGAATTGCCTCCTTGACCTCTGAAGCTTCTTCAGAGATGGACCAGGAACAGATCTTAAAATGTTTCCACCTGGAGCACATTTTCCACAGGGGACACCTGCTGTACAGATGACTTATTTCCAATTTAATTCTCACCAAATTAATTTGTTTTTGACCTACAGGAACGGGTTAAATACAGGTCTGACCCCAGGTCAAATGCCATTGGCAAGGAAACAACCAGGGTACAGTCCCCAAAGTCAATGCCATTGGTCTGCGAGAAAGCGACCCACCAGAAATGGGATTTACACATTCAGAACCCTCCCTGCATTAATGTGAATTTAATGAGCACTAACAAGTGGGCCCAGTCAGCTACCACTGCCAGATGTTGTAGTGCCCTTGCTGCCCTATGCAAATGTTGCTCATTTTCTCTCTTCTCTCAGCTTGCCTTTCTTAGACGCCCCTTCCATTACAGAGTGCTTGAAATCATCAGGCACAATGGAGAAGATTTAGGAGAGAGTCAAGGTGTCACGAGAAAATCCAACTTATAGAAAATAATATAGTGATAGAAAAATGTAATATTTATCTTTATAGTTTTTGAATACACTATGATATTCACTGGAGGTTATTGATTTCATTGGTTCAAATGGCGTTTAAAAGAAATGGCTTCACCTCTCCCTCTACCCCATATGTTCATTCACTCAACAAATATGTGGTAAAATCTCAAGCTCTATAGATAGTTCCATTCTGATCACAATAAATTCTAAGATTCATCAACTCAGAATTTCAGCACCAACCACTTAGAGAACACATTATAAATGCATAATGCGTAATGAGTACTTGAATGCCCAAATAAATATGTAGGGCTTAAAAAGCAACCTCCAAAGTGCTGACTATATTAAGCAAGCAATTTATAGAAAGGATATCAATTAAAATAGGAATGTGTAATTGTACCCCATAATTGCATTAATGTATACAGGTATGATTTGATAAAAAAAAAAAAGAATGTGTAAAAGTATAGCATTGCAATTTAGATATTAAAATTTTAAAAGTGTGAATTTTCATGGAAATGTGATACTCAGTATGTATGCATGTAGATTGAGAACCCAAACTATTACTTTATAACCACACTATATGCGTATCAGGAAGATTGTAGAATGCTTTTAAAGAGAATTATACACGAACTCTGAGATCACATTTATGAGATTAAAAGTTGCACTTTTGAAAGGAACATTGCTACACAGATTTGTAAAGAAATAAATCTTAAAAATACTAAGTTATAAATAGCACATCTAAGTTCTTACCCATGTGTAAAGATATTACCATTAGCTACCCACATAAAGTTCCATTGGGAAGTCCTGAAAAAAATAACCACTTTGGCTGGTGTGATGGCTTATGGCTCCCTAGCCCTTTGGGAGGCTGAGGCAAGAGGATTGCTTAAGACCAGGAGGAATTCAAGACCAGCCTGAGCAACACAGTGAAACTTTGTCTCTATAAAAAATAGAAAAATGAGCTGAGAGTGGTAGTACATGCTTGTAATCCTAGCTACTTGGGAGGCTAAGCCAGTGGGAGGATCACTTGAGCCCAGGAGGTTGCAATGAGCTATGGTGATGCCATGCAATTTACCCAGGCAAGAGTGAAAGCCTGTCTCAAAAAAAAAAAAAAAAATCCACCTTAACATGATAAACATGTACACTCCCGATCAAGGATAATGCAAAGCCCAGTGAGGAAAGAGCTGGAGAGAAGTTTCTTCTTTTGACAAATCTCAGATGGAAAGGCAGTTTTCAAAAGGCCTCTCAGTTGTTGGAAAGTGGCTCCATTTCTGAATCTTCTAGAGATATTTCTTTAAATCTAATGGATTTAGCAGCCATGCCTTGACAATTAAGTTCAGGAATAATACAACCTCCAATACACAGGTGATAAGGCCAGCATTACGGGTTGAACTGTGTCCTCAAAATTTATGCATCAAAACCTTAACCCCCTGTATCTTCAAATGTGACCTGATTTGAAAATAGAGTCATTGTAGATGGAATTAGTTTAAAGGAGGAGGATCTACCCGAGTGGGGGTGGGCACCTAATCCAATAGGACTGATGTGTTTTATGAAAAGGGGAAACATGAGTGTAGACACACACATGCACATAAGGAGAACACCATGTGGAGAAGGAAAAGATCAGGGTGATCACCTCCACAGGCCAGAGAGCACCAACCACCTGAAGCTAAGGCATAGCACTAACAGGTGCTTCTGCACAGCCCTCAGGAGGAACCAAGCCTGCAGACATCTTGATCTCAGACTGCCAGCCTCCAGAACTCCGAGATACAAATATCTGTTGTATAAACCACCAGTTTGTGGTACTTTGCTATGGCAGCTCTAGGAAACTAATAAAGCCATACGGTGCATTTCCTTCTAAGATTGTACAATTTAGTAGCAAGGGTACAGGAGATATACAATAATACCTAAAGTAGGGATGAATGCTTTGCCTGCGTAATCTAATCTACATATCAGAACTTAAGTACTATTGCCCAGTTTTATAGATGAGGAGACAGTAATTTCCCCCAGTGAAACTCCCAATTATGTCAAGCTCCAGGTTCTATCTTGTTCTCCCTGCTTGGGCTCTGTGATCTTTACCTCCACTTGAACTCTCTCCAGAACCACAGCATGCCATGGAGAAAGGGCTGAAGAAGAATCAGGTGAAATGTTCAGTTCCAGTGTAAGGAAGAGCTCTAAGGGGGGACAGTTGATGTGGACATCTCAACATAGATCACTCTTCCACTTTCAGGAGATAAGCCAATGTAGGTTCGGTTGAGCAAAAGTTAGATGTACATAATGAATTATTTTATTTATCAAGAGTATATATGCTACATCCAAATTCTGTTCTTATTTTCATTCTGGAATCCATTGCTCTGAGACCTGGCCAGGAATGCTCGACGGGAAGCATGAATTCCTCCAGCCAGAAAGACTCACAATTGGGTGAAGGCAGCATTTCAAGGCAAGTCACTGATCTAGCTTCTGGGCTGCAGTCTAGCACTTCCTGGCCCTTGGATTTTTGTACATTTTATAGAAACTCTTTGAGATTTTTTTTTTTTTTTTATCTGCTGGATTGGGATAATTATTCTTCCATAAAACATGTGGTGGTAAGGATAACTCAGATGAAATAATTGATGTGAAATTGCTTTTTTTTGTCAAGACAGAGTTCAACCCTATGCCCTGAGCAGAGTGAAATGGTGTCATAGCTCACTGCAACCTCAGACTCAGGTGCCCGCTGCAGTGCCTGGCTGAGTTTTTCCATTTTATTCATGAGTTGGGGTCTCACTCTTGCTCAGACAAGCCAGAACTCCTGAGCTCAAGCAATCCTCCCACCTCAGCCTCCCACAGTGCTGGGATTATAGGCGTGAGCCACCATGCCCGGCAATGTGAAATTGCTTTTTAAACCATCAAGATAGTTGGGAATATACTTAAACAGAAATCTTCAAACAAATGTTGTCTTAGCATAGAACAAATACCATCTGAGCACCTACTATGTGCCAGGTGCTCGATTTACAACAGGGAACAAGACAGACAGACACAAGAATCTCTGTGCTCAGGAAGCTTCCATTCCACAAACCAGAAACCACAAACTAATAAACAACATATATTCTGTGTCACACAAGAGCTATGGGGCAAATTTAAATTGGAAAGCGGGATTAGGCATGCTGGTCAGGGGAGAGAGAGTCTCCATTTAAAATACAGTGGTCAGGAAAGGCCCACGGAGGTGACAAGCTGAGCAAAACCTTAAAGGAGTTAAGGGAGTGAGTTGTGTGAAGACCCTGGGGAAACAGTCTCATAATGAATAGATACTTTGTCTCTTCTGAGCACCCGAGAGGTGTAATGGATTGAGGTCTGAATCCATTCATTATCAGTTGTGCTGACTATGGATCACAATTGTGCTTTCATTAGAGCCAACGAGTTTGCTCGTTCACAGTTTCTCCTTCTCAAAACTGAAGGTGCTTTTTACCAAAGGACTGAATTAGTCAGCTTTAAATAGTTTCAACTTCTCATCTTTCACAGATATAAGGGGTTTTATTTTAAACATTAATTCTTGGAAGAGTCAAAAAAGAAACATCATGACCAAAAATGCCACTGGGAGCTTATTGAAAAAATATTATTCTGTGAAACGTTTGGCTATAAAAAGGGAGAGGTTAGAGATTCAGTGTGCTAGTTTATGCATAGATGCATGTGGGGAAATAGTGGGTTATCTCATTCCTTACATGGAAAATTCTTCCCCAGAGAATATGTTTTTGATCAGTTTAAAAACTAAAAACACGAAAACTATGAATTGTGTTGATAGTGTGTGCAAAGTCCCAGAGTGCGATGCCGAGAGTAACAAGGAAGGTTAAAAAATAGTACCTGCCCTTCTAAAGTGACTACAAACCAGTTGAAGGGATTAATTTTTAGCGGCCACAGAATTCTTTGTCTATCCGCCTTTTAAAGACATAAAGTAAGTGTTTCAGTGGATTTGTTAAGGAAATAAAACACAAGAGACTGGTTTGTTTCTCTGCATACTGATAGGTTTGCCTTGCTCGGCAAAGAGAGTATATTTTTCTTTAAGACTCTGGTTTCCTTTCTGGTGCAATTGGAATTACTTCTGTTGAAACCATTTTCAAAACAGTTAAATAACTTTCAAGAAAAGGATTTATGTAGACCCACTACAGACCACTGATATATGAGTTGTGCCACCAGTTCATACCCGGTTACATTTCCTCTGAGATT